CTGTGCTTTTCTCTGTAAAATCTGCCTTTCCAATAAAAAAAAATTTTTAAATATATTTGCATTGGAACAGCAGATTTTACAGAGAAAAGAGAGAGAGTAAAGCCTTCCATCCATTGGCTAACTCTCCAGATGAGCACAAAAGCCAGAGCTAAGCAGATCCCAAGCCAGAGCTGCTTCTGGATCTCCTGTGTGGACCCAAGCACTTGAACTATTCTATGCTGCCTTCCCAGGCCCTAAGCAGGGAGCTGGATCAGAAATGGTGCAGCTTGGACATGAATTGATATGGCCATTTGGAACATCGATGCTGTAGGCAGAAGATTAGGTTGCCACGTCACTGTGCTGGACCCCTGTAGTTAATATTTTACCACCCTTTTTTTTTAGGATACTTTCCAAGATTTTAAGCTCCAAATTATTCTGTTCACTTTCTTTATTGAAAAATTGGAATTTCTGAATAACAGCATTCACTTGTGCCATCCTCAATAGGAGTAGAAAGTCTTGGCCAGGAGCCTTTTTTTTTTTTTCAAACCAGTGCTTAAGCCCTTACATGTAGGAGAATTCATACAATTGCTTAACTTATTCTTGATACAAGATACAAGACCATCTTTGAGAAAGGGTAGCATAATAAAATTAAGGTTGCCTGCTTATTTTTCTAAACAGTGTAAGTCTAAGGAAAGAAATGCAGTCTTGAAAAGCTGTACATACTTAGAAACAGGAAAAAGTCATTCATTTGTAAAAGAGAAAAAAAATTATAATCAAGTTGGTTTTGTGAGTTGCTACAACAAGAAAGGCCAAGACTGGAAAACAGAAGAAATGTAACATTTGGAAGAAATTATACCTGAGAAAATTCCTATTGTAACTCCATTCATAAAGGACTTTACTAAGTATATTTCCAAACTTTAGAGAAGCAAAGGGAGGAATTAGATCATGAAACAAGAGTAGGAAGTTTTAAAATGAATACTTACGAAAGCCTCAATTAGAATTCCTAGAAATTAGAAAATATGCAGTGGTCGCATTTTCCGTGGTTTCATTTTTTCTGGTTTCAGTTCAGGCAGCTGCAGTCTGAAATGTGATGTGTAAAATGCCAGAAAGAAGCAGCTTCTAGGTTTGAAATCCTGTTGTTCTGAGTAGGATGAAGAAATGTCGGGCCATCCTGTTGTGTCCCACCAACATATGAACTGTCCAGTGGATCTCCTGCATATACTGCATGCCACTTGGGGATTAGACTGTCCCGGTATCAGCGCTTGTGTTCAAGAACTTATCTTAAAATTACCTGAGAACATAGAGCAGTGATGCTGCCAATTCAGATATGCCTCCGTGTTTCCTATAAGAGAAAATGTGGTTCTCAAGTTAGTGAAAGAAGATTGCGAGTAACCATGGTAGGACCCAATGAAATTGTGAAGAAGAGAAAAAAAAATTCACGCTGGTTTTTCTGTCACACCTCGCAGACTGCTACAGTTATTGCCACCATGCATGATAAGTGCTTAGCTGTAGCAGAAAGATCATTAAATCACAGTGCTCCATGGTAGATACAGTTTCACGCAAGGCTAGGGATCTTGGAACACACCCCTTGTGATAACCCGTGTTAGGAACCCACCAAAAGGGGTGGGTAGACTGCAGTCTTGCGAAGACTAGGCTGTGAGCTGGAAGAGCCCACTGAGGCATTCCAGAGTGCAGGTGCAGCACAAGATGCAGAAATGTGCAGACATGAGCATACTCCCTAACAGTCTAGGATGCAGTCCTAGGAAGAAAGCAATGAAAGACGGACTGATGTAAGAGTGGCTCAGATTTCCCACAATTACAGAAAGAGAGTTCTCTAAACTACTATCATGAGTCGTGGTACAACTTTAGAACACTAAAGATGAGGAAAAATGCTTAGCATTCCTAATGAGAACCAAATATTACTGAATCTGCAAAGAAGAATTATACTACTAAAAGCATGGAGTAGCATCTTCCTAGTGCTAAGGAAAAGCGACTGCTAACCAAGAATTTTTTTTAAGATATTTATTTGAAAGAGTTAGAGACTCATAGAGGAAGCTTTTATTTGCTGGTTCACACCCCAGAGGGCTGCAATGGCCACAGCTGGGCCAATCAGGAGCCAAGAATTTTTTATGGGTCTTCCATGTGGAAGCAGAGACCCCAGGATTTGGTCTGCTTTCCCAGGCCATTAGCTGGATTGAAGTGGAGCAGCCAGGACTCAAACAGGCACCCATATACTAACCTTTGAATTTTATGTTCAGCTAAACTATTACTCAAAGCTGAGGGAGGAATGAAAAACATCAGACATAAAGAACTCGAAGATGGGCAATGACAAATGCTTGTTGAAAGAACCAAAGGATATGCTTCAAGAAAAATAAACTTTAAAAGAAATAGCGAAGGGCCCGATGTGGTAGCCTAGTGGCTAAATACTTGCATTGCATCCATTGGAATCCCATATGAACACTGACTTGTGTTCCAAATACTCCACTTCTCATCCAACTCCCTGCTGGTGGCCTGGAAAAGCAGTAGAGGTCGGCCCAGAGCCTTGGGTCCCTGTACCCATGTGGGAGACCCAGAAGAGGCTCTTGGCTCCTGGCTTCAGATGGGCTCAGCTCTGGCTGTTCTTCTCACTTGGAGAGAGAACCTGTGAGCGGAAGATCTTTCTTTCTGTCCGCCCTGTAAATTTGTCTTTCTAATAACAATAAATAAAATTTTTAAAAAGAGAGAAGAGAAAGAACTAGCAAGCCTCCAGGAACTGATGAATAAAGTAATAGGTAAAAACACTCCAAGAAGTTTGCAAAGTTATCAACTGGAAATTGTTTCCTATCAGTAAATTGGTAGAAAAATCAAGGTAGAACTGAGCGTACAAATGATGTGAAGGGCAGAGTGCAGCATAGAGAGCACTCGGAGGGAGGACATTGATTTGTATAGCTGCTAGCAAAACAGCAACAGCATGTACAATTCAAAACAGTAAAGAGGAAAGCATCTAGCCCAGCCTTAAAATACCCGTATCCCACGTTAGAGTTCTTAAGTTCCAGTCCCAACTCTGGCTCGTAATTCCATCTTTATGCTAATGCAGACGCTGGAAGGTAGAAGTGATAGCTTAGTTAATTGAACTCCTTCCACATGGGAGACACCACACGGATGCAGGGTCCCAAGGCGTTGGGCCATCCTTGACTGCTTTTCCTGGTCACAAGCAGGGAGCAGGAAGCTGGGTGGAAAGTGGAGCCCTCCACACATCCTTTTGATACCTACGAAACATGAACAAACACCTATCAAATTGTAGGCCACAGAGGAACAAAGTGATAGAAAATAACATGTTAACAACAGAGCTCCTAACAGATTTGTGAGAAAGCACTGTTTAACCCATGAGAAAATACGGATAAGTGGTGTGAATAGGCAGTTCTCTAAAGAAAGCATGTGAAAAAATTGCTGAACTTACTAATAATAGTGAAAAATAAACAGAATAAAAAATCAGGATAATGCCATGTTGGGGAGACCCATGTTGTAGCGTTAGCCAAGCCACTGCTCATGACATTCCCATTCCACACTGGAGTGGAGTCCTGGCTGCTGAGTCCTAGGAGGCAGCAGGTAATGGACCAGTCCCTGGAACCACTACCCCTCAGTGGGGAGATTGAGATGCTAGAATTGGCCTGACCCAGTTTCTCCTATTGTGGGCATTTGGGGAGTGAACCAGTACATGGAAAATCAATTGCCTTCCTTCCCCCACCTTCCCCCTTCCCTTGCTTTGTCACTCAACCTTTTAAATAAATAAAGTCTTTTTTTTTTTAAGAATGGTACAATTTTTCACACACCCAGTACTGAAAAACCATTAAACCAGGTGATAATAGTGAATGTTGACAAGGATGCAGGCTAAGGAATGCTTATAAATGTTAATTGGGGGTTGTATGTAGCCTTAGTTCTGCAGGGCAGCTAGACTTTATTCAAATTACATGTTATACTTCAGAGGGCCCTTCCCCTGGTATCTGGATCTTACAGATTTAGAATTGTCTTGGGTAATTCTTACCATGGCATTTTGGGTAGCAATGTAATAAAGCATCTTTTCACATTTAAAGATGTTTTGGAAGAGCAGTAGCTCCAAGTTAGCACATTTAAGAAGAACAAAAGCAAAAGTAGTTTTTGGAAAAGCTCTACATATGTGTGAATGTTTATTTGTACGTGGTGTAAGAACTAATTCTGCCACTCCATACTAAAACATTGTGGGTGGAGCCCTTCTTTCATTGTGGCAGACCTTAGCCTTACATTTCAGTGTCGTACATGCTTTGTCTAAAATGTTAGCTTATAGTTATCTTGAACTTTATTATCATGTGGTCAATTTCATGTGCAAGGGTACTTCAGAAGGTTCATGGAAAAAATGAATTAGAAGATATGTGTTTCCCATGAGCCCTTTGAAGATTCCTGCTGTTTATTTAGATAGCTGGCCTCTAAAGAATGAATCCTGTACTAAGAGCAAAGAAGAAATGTAGAGATTTCAGATGTGGTTTCCTGTTGAAAGGCTAACTGTTTTCCTGTTGCCTGTTGGTACTCAAACTCAAGCATATTAACCTGGAATTCAGAGTTCCTGCAGTGTGGCCTCTCCAGCTTCCACTCTGGTTTCCTCCCACCCGAAGTGTCCTCTTTCTTATTTCCAGGGGTTAAATATGTGGCCCCCTGTTGAAGTCTCAGCACTCACAGGAAGTCCTGTCCAGGCAGTGCTTCTGTGGCCTTTCTTTGTCTTCATTTTTCAACTCCTATGTCATTTATTGATTTTTCTGTTAGTATTTTAGTCGTGTAGATTGCCTATTTTTGGACTCATTTCCTGTTTAGCACTGATGTTGGTGTGTTCTTCCTACTAGGCTAGAGAATAAGTTCCCTGAGGATTCCGTTATTTCTCTAGAGACTGGACATAATAGATCCCAAGTAAACTTTTACTAAGTGAATATCTGAAATGTATTAATTGCAGTAGAGACCATTGGGCTATCTTGTCCAATTTTATTAATTTTGCTTTTCATTTACTTTTTCAGTTTAGAGTGTTTATATCTTGGAGGAAACTTCATCAAAGAAATCCCACCTGAATTAGCAAATTTGCCTTCTCTGAATTACTTGGTATTATGCGACAACAAAATCCAAAGTGTGCCTCCTCAACTTTCCCAGTGAGTAGTTTTAGACCATATGTATATACAAGCACACATGTCCATGGTTGGGAATTACTTTCTGGATTCACTCCCATCTTTTTTAGTTTTACTTTTAAATGTGCAGTTTCTTTTCTTTAGAATATTTATTCAGCCTGTTTTCTACAACTTAAAACGAGAGTATCAATTTGACATAGATTTCCCTAGCTTTTATGCAATTTCTAATCAAAAACACTTGGGTTTTATAATACAAAGAATCTTCACTCTTATTGCATCTGAATTTTTTTTTAATTTATTTGCTTGTCTGTTTTTAGTTCCTTTAATGATAAAGCCTTTCAACCCAAAGTCTTTACATTTGGCATTTACTTAAATATCAGCTAGTACATCAAAGTACTTCCGGTATTGTAAATTCTCTCAGATTGCCTGGGTCAGAGTCTTCTAACATTTACAAATCTGCACTCTGGTCTATCTTTCAGCATCTTTAATGATACTTTCTTTGACCATTGTCTGAATGTCTTGGTCTTATGGGGAAATCAAGCCCTGTGCATGCATGCGTACACACACACACACAGCCCCCCCCACACAGACTGAGCTCTCTCAGTGTGTAAGAGATATATGTTGCTTACTGCCATTGATGTTTGTGCTTTGTCCATTCTAGGTTGCACTCACTTCGTTCCCTCAGCCTCCACAATAACTTGCTGACCTATCTGCCTCGAGAGATCCTCAACCTTATTCACCTGGAAGAATTGAGTTTACGAGGAAATCCACTGGTTGTTCGTTTTGTTAGAGATTTAACCTATGACCCTCCAACTCTCCTAGAATTGGCTGCACGGACCATTAAGATCCGAAATATTTCCTATACTCCCTATGATCTTCCTGGAAACCTTCTGAAATATTTAAGTTCAGCTAGCAACTGCCCAAACCCAAAGTGTGGAGGTAAGCTAAATTGCTGCTCTGGCTTCCTAGTGAGTTAGCTGTTTTTGAAATGGCGATTGTGTGACAGTTGCTGTAACTGAGCTTTCTCTCTGAGAGAGTGTTCCTGTTCCCTCACCCTTTCATCCTTCTCCCATAAAGTTAAGATACTTCACCTGCTTTGGATTTCATTTTTTAAAAATTCTTTTCAGCATATTTTAGAATTCATATACAGGCAGAACATCCACATAGTCTTATCCTGTCCCAGAATGGTCAGACAGTAAAGGAAGATGGTAGAATGGTGGGAAACACAAAAGAAGCTTAAACAGTTCTGTTTGAAAAGAATGTCTAAAATGTTTGGCCGCTCTTCATATTTAAGCAACTCAAAATACTATTGAATATCAGAGGAGACAGCAAGTATATTTAATTGATTTGAAAAAGATGAGAAGATTCTTGAGGTCTGGGGTAGATTTAGATAGGGTAAGATTGACAATAAGAAGCTTTTCAAGAGATGATGGTAAAATGAAGATAACGGCATAATGCAGAACATTGTTGACAAGTGAGATATACAGTTCAGTGAGTAGCAAGAGACAAGTGAATAGATAAATTGAGACCACGTTGTAAAGGACCTAAAGTCCCAGGCTATATGGGCAAGAATTGGGGACTGATAGCAAGCTCTTTTACTTTGGATTCTTCATTAAAGACTACTTGAAAAAAAAACCCAACAGTTTGATAGGAATATAGAATAAGGTTTTGCTGTCAGAGAGGGAGTTAGGCACTGAGAGAATGCTGCATATGGATGGTACAAAGCAGGTGCAACTTTTCCTGAGTCTCATCTTGTCTGAAAATTGTTACAAGGTTAGAAAGGAAGAAATAAATTATTAAAGTCCTTAAAGATGCTGAAAAGATACAAACACTTTAAAGAAGGAAAAAAGGACATTCTTTCCCATTTGCTCTTGGAAGTGAAAGCTGGGGTGCTGTGCCAGGATGGAAGTGTGAACCCATTTCTCTGTGGTCCTTTCCTGAATTGACTTAACAGTGGCAGGAAGACAAGCTGGCCAACATGTACACCAGACCCCCAGGCCAAGTCTTCTAAACCTAGTCTCTGCTGTGAATCCATCCTTTCCTGGAGCTGGACCTTTACAAGAATTTTTTTTCTCTCATAACTGGTTTCTTAAAAGCTTTTGTATTATACTGATGTACTGTTTATCTTGGCAACAAAAATGCTTTAAAACTTGCTAGGTTAAAATTTGGGATAATAAGGAAAATGAACCATCAGATGTTTTTCTAATAAACAAGAGTACTTTATGTTTTGTGGGATATTTTCTTTGTTTAATCTGAGAACCTATGAATGATTTTAGCTACTATTAGACTGTTTTAGCTCATAGTAACCCCTTATTTTAGTCCTGTCTCTCTCAGGGCTTACTTATCTTAGCCTACTAGTAATCAGTCTGCGACCAGTTTATTAACTGTCCCAAACTATTCAGAGTAATCTAGTGGGCATTTTCATTTCCAAACCAAGAGTTACTACCAAGATCAGAAAACTGTGAGAATAAATGAAAAAGAAAGAGGGGGGGGTGTGTTTGGAGGGTGTTGGGAAGCATAGAAATCATTATTTCTCCGTTGCTTAAACCACTTCTATAATTTGGGTCCCATACATAATAAACACACTTGGGAAACTGGTTAGGATATAAAGGTTGAAATTCCTATCCAGAAAGGCAGCAGGACTGAGGTTGGATGCAGTTGTTGAAGAGATGTGTGCTATCTGTTCACAACCAGCAAGAACCCAGCATGCAGCAACTGCTACTTTCTTCTCAGCTTTAGCTGTACCCTCCCTTAGCTGAAGAGAGGGCTGACAGACTGTGGCACTTTGCTTTGTCATGATTACTTTGTTTCTCCCTCTTTCCAGGAGTCTACTTTGACTGCTGTGTCAGACAAATTAAGTTTGTGGACTTCTGTGGGAAGTACCGCCTCCCATTGATGCACTACTTGTGTTCGCCAGAATGCTCCTCCCCTTGCAGTTCTGCCTCCCACAGTTCCACATCCCAGAGCGAATCTGACTCCGAAGATGAAGCCAGTGTCGCTGCACACAGGATGCAGAAAGTTCTTCTTGGCTAAAAGGGAGACCAGAATGGGGTGAAATACTAACAACACTGACTAAAGTTGGTTAGAAAAGAACATGAGTCTTAGAGTTCACTGGAAACCTTACCTTCATCGTGAATGTCTGTGAAGCACGCAGGCATGTTGTAAAAGACTGTTTCATCTGCCCCTGTAGTAGGAATGAGTCAGTTCCATGTGTGGATTCTTTGAGTACACTGTGAATGGTAATTCCAGATTTGGCTGGTTGCGATTAAGTTTTGAATGAATCACAGCAGAAAGGGGCATTCTTAAGAACAGTGCCGGCAGAAGCCATGAATTCTGTAACTTGTGACAGTGGAGGTAAAGAAATGGTGGTGGTAGAGTTAGCCTGAGGTTTAGGTTGAACACTATGTCATAACAGGATTTACCCTCTCATTTTGCCCATACGTACAGCGTACATATAGCCATTCCAATAAACTCTCAGATTATATAGGACCTAAACCTTTCTGACCAATTAGCTTGTTTTTAAATTGGCTGTTGAAATTCTTCAGTACTTCTCCTTTGTTCTTTGTGATTATTATCAATCTTAGATCATTCAGCAGTGGCTTTAATAGTGCCTTACTCCTAGCAAGAATAAAGAAATTTCTTGAAGAAATAATGCCAGAGCGAACTGTACCCTGACATACCATGCAAGGCGCCATACAATATGCTTTAACAGGATAGATAAACTGCATTTAGCGGCTGAGCTCATAGCCACCTTCACTTCATTTTTTGTTGGTTTGTTTGTGTAAACTTGCAGTGCCCCCTTTTAAACATACTGCTTTTATACTTAATGGGAGGTCATGATCTTGACCAATCTGTACATTGTAGGATAGTTTTTAACAGAACAATGTAGAAGAGATGTGAGCTAGGAAAACTGCTTTAGATGTTTATTAAATGAATGGGAAAAAAGTTTTTAACAGTCAAATATAACTCCTTTGTTGTCTACTGAACAAATTCATGTAACTAGAAAAATAAGACAAACACAGTTTAGAACAGAAGCCATTGTGTTTTGCACAATAGAAAAATTTCCAAAACTAGTTTAGTCATGGAATAAGCTTTGAGAATAAAATACTGGTAAAATATTAAAAATATATGCTAAATGTATCATATCTTAAAAGGATGGCAGAAAAATAGTTCCACAGATTAGTTTTAGAAATTAATTTTTATTCACTGGTTTACTGTTCAGTGAAATTGAATAATAGTATTGCTGTAAGCTGGAATTATAAAATACAGCAGCTTTCTAGGAGTCATGAAGTAGCCAGCTTGTAGTAGCATGATGGCCGTTGGCCAGCTGTGTGTCAGCACGTTAGTCTCTTCTCTGATGGTGGTGCACACTATTTCAAAAGCAGATTGCTGTATAATAAAATGGTATATATGTGTGTTAGGTTTTGTTCATATTTGTTCATTTTTATCTTAGAAGAAAATATACTGTAGAGTAGTTCAGTTTATGTGGTTTTTTTATGTTAATTCATGAAACATGAGAGTTTCATGAACTGCGGTTATGAAACGCTGCTATAGTGAATCCCTTCACCTTTACCCTGATACAATGTAGGAAGATTCTACTTTTCCTTTTATTTTAGAAATGTTCTGACTATGCCTATAAGAAATCTAAACTGTTTCTGCTGCCTAGCAAAGTAGTTCTTGACTTGAGTACATCATAAAATGAAAGTAATAGTCTTTGCTTCCTTCTCCATATGAGCCATAACAAGCTGCATACTGCAAAATTCACAGCAAGCAAAAATGCCTTAGGCAGTGCCTGAGTGTGAAACCTAAAATTTATGTAAGTGACTTAATGATTCTTATTTTCATAGAAAATAATTCTATTTTTACCAATTTGAGTAATGAAATACTCAGATTGGTAGGCCCAAATTTTTCTGACTGCCTCTAAGTTAATTTTCAATTGGTTTCCAGCTTGGTTTCACGTAGAAGCTTGAATAATATAAGAGTGAGTCATTGTAAAATAAATGAGTGGGTATGTGAATACAGTGCTTAACCCTACCCGCCATTCCCAGCTTCCTAGAAAGATTATTTAGTCTCTGACAGATGCAGGTAAAAACAATGGGAAACAGTTTCTAGTCTTGCTGTTATAATATAGCTGTATGCCATAGTATCCTCTCAACAAAATATTTGTTAGTTTCATCACATATATATTTGAAAAATCTATGATCAGTCTACACCTATCTTTGTTAACTTTTAGTCAAATTTGCATTTTAACTGTTAATTCTATCTTTTTGTAACCTTAGGTCTTTTTCACAAGAGCTGCTAGTAATTTCTAAGAGTTTGTTTCTTGTTTTTGTTTGTAATTGTTGGTTTTAAAAATTAATGAGAATAGGAGATCCAAGGGACCTGATCTTTAGAATCTAGTTGGTCGGTTCCCAAGTCAACTAGGTGTGTTTAAAATGGTAGTCTGTCTTTTTAGTTGCCGAGTCACGTGTTTATGAATAACTATAGTTAATAAACTTTAATTTTTCAAAGAAATTCACAGGATCAGTCTAATTTTCAAAGTAGGGGAAAAAAAGGCTTTGGTTGGACAGTTTTAGCAACCAAAGCTTCTGTGAATAAAACTACTTAAAGCACTAATATACTTAGAATGCTAACATTTGAAATTGGAATGGGTATATTATACATTCTTAGTAGACTTTATTGCTAAAATCTGGTTCTGTCAACACTACCAAAATGATCTGGACAGATAGTCTCAGGATTTTAGAAAATTATATTAGCTAATACAATATTTTAAGTCCATTATGCCAAGGATTGGCTCATGTCAGATCAAGGTGTCAGGGTTCTCAACCTTTTCTGAGTTGGAATGGTAGAGATAAAGCTAAAGGTGTCTGCTCATGGTTTAATTTTGTGATGAGCTTCTTTCTTTCCAAAATTCTTGGTATTTAGAACTTTAAAGTATCAAGTTTTGAAGCAAACTCATGCTGCAAGCTGTTCCTTAAATTTGAGAAATTTTATGTTGATGTAAATGAAAATGAAAGGTAGATGTAAATGAAAATGAAAGGTAGATGAGTAAGAAAAAGTTGTTTGTTAAGAGTATTAGATGAAAGAAGTTTTTAAAAACAATAATAATTTTTTTTTAAAAAGGAATAAAGGACTCATCAGACATCTGAGCTTATTCCAGAGCCAAGAAAATGTCTTAAAAGTAGTACCACATTGATTCTTAAATTTTTGTTTTGTTTTGTTTTGTTTTTGATTTTTAAATTATTAACTGGCCACTGACAACCATTCAGAACCTATCACCAAGTTTATTTGAAGACAGATTTATGTGCAGATGGTTCACATTCTGTGAGGAGCCAGCAAGTAATGAGCTTATCATACAGCCAACCTTGGTCTTCCCAAAGAAAGAGAGGAATGCCTCATTAACCTGGCATTTGTGGTCCCGCAAGTACCCTTGGTTAATGTTCACGTGTTGTTGGGGAGGGGGGAAATGCATGCAAATAGTTTATCTAAAGTATTTTAGCAGTAGCTATTAATATAAATAAACTAATGGTTGTTATTCCTAAATTTTCATAAGACCCCTAAAAGAAAAAAGTGATCAGTTCCAATATGTATATAAAACATTAGGCTGCATTTCACCCTTGAATGCTTGTAAATAACTCTTTGAAATGCATTATTGCCCAGCCAACATATCCTGACCTGACTAGCACACCTGACATTTTGCCAAGTCACACTGATTTTTTTTTTAGAGGCCTGTTATATGCATAAATGTCTGTATACATATAAATGTATTATGTCATAAAATATAGAGTTCAAAAAAAAAAAAAACATTAGGCTGCGTTTGGTTAGAAATTATTTTTGCCTGGATGATCCCTGGTCTTCTCACGTGAAAGTAAGGACTTTACTGGGTCATTGTAAGTATTACTCTGCAGTACAAAAATAATGAGCTTTGAGGTCGTCCTGGGCATTTAACAATAGCAAAGGCTGTTGTATAGGTTGTTACGCCACATGATCTATAATCCATAGTTCTGATTCCATCTGTATTTTAAAGGCGTTCTTGAGCTTTAGTATCACTGTATTAAGCACTATAATGTGTATAACAGTAGTGTATTTAGTAGTGTTCAATTTTGTAGTTTCATTATAATCATGATCATGGTGAAAGTAACAGCATCTTTAGTTGTGATCAGAAATTATGTGCCTTAAATCCTCATCTCCAGACCCCAAGTTTGTGAAACAGCATCTTTGAATAACTTGCCTCATGGCTTCGGGCTTTTGACAGGAGAGATGAAGACTGTGGTCCAGAGAGATCCCTTCCCCCAAAACAGAGCCTCTTGGGTTGAAGTTGTAGGCCTTCCCCTGGGGAAGGAAACTCCATCATGTGTGTTGTCAAAGCCAAACAGATGAGGATCCCTCAAAATGAAATCAACAAAAAGACATTCTGTAACAAATTAGTCTGTTTTAAAAACGTACATGGTGCCACCAAAAGATGACAGCAGTTCCTGATAAGCTTTGTATGAACAACATCATGTGAATATACTGTTGCAGGATCCCTAATGTGTTTTGCCACTAATTTTTATGGTAATATAAGCTGAAAGGCATGTATGTTTTGGTATTTGTGGATGTAAATATCTCCATTTGTTTTATATCTCTTCTGGGTCCATATTTGCTAAGAATTAATGTAAAAAAGGAACATTTTACTGACAACCACTACATATTACTGAATTCTCACAGGGTAATACTGATTTGGGTGCTACTGGACTTCCACCTAGCATTGGTCAGGCTCAGTCTTGTAAGGGACAGTGTTCAACCTAGTAAATGCTGAAATCTGTTAGTTACCAAAAGTCTTTGTGGAAAGACTGTCTGCATTCCTTTGGCTGTAGAATAACTGGATAAAACTATTTATTCTGAATTCCAGCTAGTGGAAGAAATAAGATAAAATTCATATCAGTATTGCTAATATTGCAAACACAGCTGATGTTTAAGACTCCTTTTACTACCTTAAGTGGTTAACATTGAAGTGCTGTGAGATAATAGTCACAGTACAACAATTCCGCAGAGATCTGTGCTCCTGCAATTGAGGTTCGTTGCATTCCTGAGCCCACTTGATGTTCATGAGAAACAAGAAGATGACAGTAGACAATTTCAGGATAGCCAGTAAATATGCTTTGGGGTTTAAACATATCAGTAAAGGGTACTGAAAATATATTTAGTTTTACTTTGGTTACATAAAAGTCTGATTTTAGTTTGGTTAAGCAAATAATCATTTTCTGTATATCACATCTTGTAAATTAGAATAGGTATCTGTAAACACAGATAATTAAAAAATAATGGAAAGCAGTGTAATCCAACATATTTCAACAAGTAAGTTTTGTTTTCAGATAGCTTATTATTATATCAGGTTGCTATATTATAATACTAAATGCTCTAAAAAGAATAAGCTACTTCAGTTGTAGTACCTCCTTTTCCTACCTGCTTCATCCCCTGAACATGGAGAAGAATGTGATCTTAATATTAACTAACAATATGTATGAATTATGCCTTTTCAAATGTGCCTTATTAAAAGTGTTTTGTTAGAAGCCAATTTTATATTTTGGAAAAATAACAGTATTTTAGTATTGATTGACAGCATTTACTTTTTAAAAATTTTAAATCCTTATAATGTTTGTATTTACCTGATTACTTATTATATCATTGTGTATCTGTTTATTGCTTTTATTCAATACATGAATTTGTGCATTTAGCATGTATTGGCATTTACTCTTTGTGTTATATGTGAGGGATAAAGGATGAGTTAGATCAAACCCCTGTCTGTTAGTGGTCCGTTTTCCCCTCTACACAGACTAAAGATGCCTATTAAAATAAATCTGTGAGGTCATTTTTGAGGCTAATTAATTCTTGCATTTACTCCAGAATCATGCCATCTTAATTGACAGCAATTCAGTACTAACAACTCAGTGATACCACAATAGTTCATATTGTTCTTTAGTACCCTTTTGGTGACCTTAGAACACCTAACATTTTTCTTGTTTCCTGAATATGAGAGGATGCGCCAGGATAGATGTAGTGTGTGGGAAGGACACATTCTTTGTACAAAATAGCTCAAGTTTCTAATTTGCTAAGAGAAAAAGCTCGGCATTTCCCTGGCTAGTTTATAGGATGACTTCTTCTTGAAGCTAGGACCAGAAATTTCAGAAGTTAAGAACAAATAAACTGTAACTTTGATCTCTTTCTTTCCAAAGGATGACACTTAACCAGCTCATCCAGTTCTCTTTAGAATTAGTGTTAGAAGGGAATGTGTCAGGTTTGGGTATGCTGCATGCATTACACTGCTCATTGCCAGCTGTGAGTAGTTAATCAGCATTTACTGAAATATTAAACCTAAACAGAATCCTTTGAAGTGTAAAATTGATGCACTTGCTTGAGAAATGCAAAAAAAATTCAAAAACATACTTGGCCGAGATTCCAGAAGGCTGAATCTTGAACCCAGGTCTCTGGATTCTCACTTACTGTTTCCATTGTAGCATGCTGCTTCCGTTAAGGAATGACAGGAGCTCAAGGAGAGTTACAGGTACTGGAGTATACACTGGCTTGCCACTGGAGGTGATGCTGGCTGTACTATATCTTTTTTTTTTAATATTTATTTATTTTTTATTACAAAGTCAGATATACAGAGAGGAGGAGAGACAGAAAGATCTGTCTGATGATTCACTCCCCAAGTGAGCGCAACAGCTGGTACTGCACTGATCCAAAGCTGGGAACCAGGAACTTCTTCCAGGTCTCCCACACGGGTGCAGGGTTCCAAGGCTTTGGGCCATCCTCGACTGCTTTCCCAAGCCACAAGCAGGGAGCTGGATGGGAAGTGGGGCTGCCAGGATTAGAACTGGTGCACTATGTCTTAATAAACCCGAAGTTGAAGATTAGGTGAGAGACCCTGGGTAAGAGTAAATACCTGGATAACTACTGTTCACAGAGAACATGCAAGAACCCACCTTTTAATCCTCATGACAGTGTTTAATAGTCATAGATTTGGTAAACTTCGTTGCTGTGACTAGGCAAAGCTTTCCCCTTTTCTCCTTGGTTTTTGAAGTCAATCAAGAAACTGATGTCAACCTGAGAGAGAAATCTAAACATCAGCTTTATCAAGTCAGGATTGAGCTTAATATTCCTTCAAATATTCCTTTAAATCACAATCACTGCTTTCGCCATGTACGATTCTCCCAAGGCACATGCAACACACCACTTTGGGCGGGCAAATTCAAAGGAGGACAGGTTAAAAAAAAAAATGTACTCCTTTGTACTGCCAAGTGGAGAAATCTGGACCATCTAGGGAACTGAGTCAGCCTCTCCCACAAGGAGGAGAAAGATTTCTGTGGGAAACTTCTCAAACCTGGCTAACACATTGGAATGCCCCTTGGGATACCTGTGTTCCAGTGTCTGGGTTTGAATCCTTGCTCCACTTCTGACCCAGCTTTCTGCTAACGTATATCCCAAGAGGCAGCGGGTGATGATTCTAGTCTGCCAGCCACAAGGGAAACGAGGAGTTCTGGATTCCTGGTTCCACAGCCTGGCACAGTCCTGATTATTGGCAGGCATTTGGGGAGTAAACAGATGGAAGATTCTCTGTCACTGTTAATCTGTATTTAAACAAAACTAAAATTAAACAATCAGGGGGGCTTTGAAGGTAATGACGATGCAGGGGCCTCTTCCACTGATCAGTTTAAGCCTGATCTTGAGAGGTGGGTTTCAGGTCTCCAGAGCTGCAGAAACTCACGGGGTGACACAGCTTCTCAGTGAGGGTAATACTGCTTTAATAAAAGTTCATTTAAGATTCATTTGAGATTGGTACGCTAAGATTTTTTTTTTAAACAGGTGAGTAAGTGGGACCAAACTGATGAAGCAACATGTCCAAGTTCTCTTAGATAGTGACAGTTATTGCTAGAATCTACACATCAAAAAAAAAAAATTCATTACATGTTTAGAACAGGCATTGATTGCTAATCTAATGTTCCTTGCTTCTCCCTGTCAATCACTTTTTTTAAAGAAGGTTCACAAACATAAGATGATCTATTCAAGAGTGTTGGCCAGAGTGAAACCAGCTGCACTCAGACTGCTGAGTTGAAAGCAGCAAACAGATGAGTGTAGCCAGAAACATTTTAGTTTGGTCAAGCATTCCAAATTAACAGCCACAAGGCAGGAGACATCCATTTCAGGCACAAGATAAACCTTGCCAAGTCACGCACTGACTCTTGACTTCAGATGAACACATGACTC